GGGGGGGGCATTTTCTAAAGTATATACGTGACTAAGCCCCTGCCTTTTTGGGGTGAGGGGAATCCTGGGATCTGGATCATGCCAAATACTTCAGTAGCAACCTCCTCAAGAAGGTTTCTTCCTTTGTCTTATAATTGAATCCTTTTATTTCTTGGTTTTTTTAAGCCAAAAATTGCTGGCTTAAAATTTTACCTAGGGATAAAATTGTCTGTCTTCACAACAAATAACATTGTAACCTCTCTTCAGTATGACAGCCTTACAGCCATTGAAAGTATCTCTCTGTTTCCATTTATTCTCTTTAAAAGAAGAAAGGTTACTTTAATTCTGGTCCTAAAATGCATGTTGGAAATTCAACATTGTGTGTTTATTATACACTAGGTGCTTCCAATTTTATCTTACTCTTCCCTTACAAGTGTAGGGAGAGAGTGTATTTAACCCTATTTCACAAATGAGTGAACTGAAATTCATGTAGGTGGTTTCGTACACCCACGCCACTCTACCAGTGTCAGACCTAGTATTGGAACTTAGATATTGTGATTGTCCTTTATCACTTGACCATGATTTTTTGATTTAGCCTAGCAACTTGTGAGTGGAATCACTCTTTTACACTTAGTAGGTATTCTTCGTGTGTTTGGTTTTAGTGGGATTTCATTATGGAAAATACAACTGGAGTGTTGATAGGGTAATGATCCCAGTAAAGCATGTATGTCAAAAGTATACAATAACTAAAGGCTAGTGTAACACTGTAGGTAAACTTAAATTCATAATTTAAGTAATTATTTCAGTGACCAAAAATAGATACTTTAATCATCACATAAGTAACTTTGTATAGTTAAGTAAGGGAGAGGACTTAGTTTACCTTAAAATTTTTTTTAAATAAATGCAGCATTTTACTGCATTCAGAACTGAGTAAGAACACACTGAGGGAAAGGGCACGTGAGGTCAACAAGGTCAAGTTTCCAGGTTAATGTTATTTGTTACAAACCTGCTATTTGGGGGGCTTAGGAGATGCTTTTGTTTATAAGCTCAAATTTATCTGCTCAGAAATGGTTAGCACAGTATTAAGGTGGGAGTTGAAAGAGTGGTATCAGTGGCCTAAACCAGAAATTCTCATACTTTAGTGGGCACAGATATCAACTGGGGATCTTTTTAAAAAACAAAGTCCTCCTATAAAAGGGATTCTCAGATTTAGTGGGCTCGAGATGGAAAAACGTCTGGATTTTCTATATGCATCTCACAAGAATCTCAAACAATCCTTACAGGACACTTGAAACGTTAGGCACAATACCACCACTCCTAGGTAGAGGGCAAGAGCATCTGCAGAACCCCCTTTTCCTGTCTTTTCCTTAGTTCTTTTTCCTGCCCTGTCTTGTTTATATTTGTGAAGATGAGGAGTAAAGACAGCTACATTTTTAGAACTGGTACTTGCACAGAATACTAGGGTATGAATATTAAATTCAAGCATCCGTCTTTTATCTGTTTCTTCATAATAAATTTTAACTGAGAAATTGTAAGACTATAATTGCGGGGCCAAATAACAATGGTTTTAAATTAAACCATGTGAAGTGGGGAGAGATGCATTATTTGCCCTTCTGAGTCATCTTACTGTGGCTGTCTTTTTCAGTGTTTAAATTAATCGTATTTTATCTCACTACCGCTTGCAGGTTTGCTATAGCCCGAGAAATAATGGTAGCATTCCTATGACGAGTAGGTAGAAAAAAAATAGTAATTATTTTAGGATTGCCAAGTAAATGGAAACACATGAGCATGTAGGTAGTACTTTCTAATGTTTTGTTGTTTTTTTTTAAAGAACTCATTATATTTATGTTCTTTAAGAACCTAATCCTTGACAGTCATTTTTTTCTTTAGTCACATGACCATAGTGTCAAAGAAATGGTAGGGGTCGCTTTTTAAGAAATTTAAGTGCCTACTACTTCCCAAGACATTGTTAGATGTTAAGAGTATAAAATGATAGCATTTAAAGAGCTTTTTAATTTAGTGGTAAAAATATGGATGTCAGAAAAGAAATACAAAGTGCTATATATGGCTTTAGTACTAAAACTGCTGGAATTGCCTTCTTTCCACATTTTTATGTACACTTGGAAATCTAGTTTATTAGGAAGGTTAACACTAAGCCTCATTCTAATAACATTCAAAGATACTACAGTATTTTCCTTTTCATTATTGAGTCTTAAGATGTAATTGGCTTATTATAAAGCAGAGGTACCCTGGATGCATATAAAAATTGTCAGAGAGAATTTAAAAAAAAGAAGGGAGGAAGCGCTTAGTACTTCATCAGAGATCTCAGTTTAATTGCTGTGGAGTAGAGAGCCAGGGTATTTTTTTCTCCACAGAAGATTCTAATGTAAAACCAGGATGATGTGATTACTGCTGCCATAGGGCATTGGTTTTAAAATAACTTTAGGTTTGGGATTAGGGAGCAACCCCTGCCCATATTTAATCTTTCCCTTTCACAGAAAGTTTTGTGGCAGAAATTTGAACCACCCTATATTTAAAACAAAACAAAATCCACATTCTTTATCTTATTATTTTTTCTTTAAATATATTTATTGACTTCAGAGAGAGAGGAAGGGAGAGAGAGAGAGAAAAACATCACTGAGGGAAACCTCAACATCAATCAGCTGCCCTCCTGCACACACCCTACTGGGGACTGAGCCTACAACCTAGACATGTGCCCTGACCAAGAATTGAACCATTGCATGGGTTGACACTCAACCACTGAGCAACACCAGCCAGGCTAATTTATCTTAACAGGCTGCCATAGCTTGTACTTCAGTACTTGCTTTTGTTTCATCTAAGAAAGCAATTCGCTAAGGGAAGTGACTCCTTTGCTTATTGAAATTTTCATAATACTAATACTTAGGGGTAGAGTACTGTCCCCATGAGTGCTTAAATTTTTTTTTTCTGATACCATCAGTGAAGAGGACAAGGGCATTTATTTAGTAGGCAGGTCCAAAAAAACTCAATTGTCAGATAAGATACACTTTTCCACGATATTTTGTTCCTGAATTGGCAAATTCTGTATGTTTTTTACTTTGAAAAGTTTTCTAAGCCAAGACTTCTTGTTACCTGTATTTAAAAATAACTGGTATTGGTATTATTTTTAAAATGTTGACACTTCTGTGGTCTGCTCTAACTCTGAAACTTGAGTTTCAAACTGTTTTTAACTTGGTAAACTGTAAAATTAAACAATAATTGTATACATGCAATTTGCTACATGAGTTTAGTGGATAGTACTTTATTTGTAATGTCATTGTTTAAAACTAGTTAACTAAACTAATATGTGCAATTAGTATTTTTATCTGCCTATTTTGATTTTGGAATGCAGGTATGGGTTTATGAATCATACATTTATGTTTCAGCTGATGTTCTTTTTCTCTACTTTTATGTAATTTGTTTATCTTTCAGCGATTCACCTTTGCCAGTCTCTTCCCGTGTCTGCTTTGTTAAGTTCCATGATCCGGACTCAGCAGTTGTGGCACAGCATCTGACAAACACTGTATTCGTTGACAGAGCATTGATAGTCGTACCATATGCAGAAGGTTTGTGCTTTGTTTACCTATCTATGTGGGCATCCAATGATGACCATCTACCTCAGTATAGTTTTAGAGTGAGCATTAGTAGCATGTTAAAAATCTAAGCTATTAACATTTTGAAACCCTTGTTATACTGTGGTCCATATTTTTACTTGTAGGTTTTAATTCAAAAGTTAGAAAACATCTGTTTTTTATAAGATACCTAACTATTCCATTCTTTTAAAACATTTTTAAGTTTAAAACCATGTCCCTAGTTATAATTCCTTAAGGTACATTTACTTAGTTATTGTAACATTAAGTTTTATGAAAAAGTCCTGAAGGTGAATGGTTCACTCCATGCACATTTACACAGGAACCGTCAAATAAATGCATGATGTTATTTTTGTTTTGAATAAATGACTAGGCTTTATTTTCTTAGTGCTTCCACTCACTGATAACTTTAAAAAAAAAAAAAAATCCCACATTGAATTCCAGTATACCAAGGGTTGCAATTATTTTGGTTTGTATGAAAGTTCAAGATTTCCTATACCCTAGGTGCCAGATGGGCACTGGGTGTTGTGTTTTGTTGTTATTGCCAGATTTTCTTGTTCATTCTTGCTATATTTTCTAGAATATCTCTAAATAATAAATTCTTCTCTCTGTTATTTGTGTGTGTGATTTTTGTAGTGGAGAAGGCAAATGCAAAACTCTTCCAGATGACTGAAAAACAGTGGGTCCTCTGCAGCTACAGGGGATTCTAGACATTAACTAAAGGCCAGCAAGCACTCAAGTCCCCCAAGTGTTTTCCTGGTGTAACCATTTGTTAACTACATTTTCTCTCTTTTTACATTTTAGGCTGTTAAAGTAATTTGACAGAAATAATGAGCAGGGTTTGGGGATCTAAAAAAAGCCACTGTGACGAGACAACACTATTTAATTCCATTTTGTAAAATTTTCTAAGCCATATTTTATAGTTTGTTCCCAATGTACTGCTACTTTATTTGCTTTTTGTTAACTATAAATTTTGATCTAAGAAGTAACTGAAATATAAAATTACTGGATTTTAAAGGTGAAATTACTGGATTTTGATTAAGTTAATAATTACGGGGTTTTAAGTTAATTTACAGCATTAAGTTAATTCTGACCAGGAAATGCTTTCCCCTTTCCTTAATGTACTGGTCAGTGGAAGCACAATCTTGATATTGTTAACTTTGGATGCTATCTCAGATCTTTGAGTACCAATGTGAACATTTACACCATACCTTGTAAAAGTTGTGAAATGTGTAGTCCTTAAACGTAGAAAAATTGCCTCTGGTTTTCTAAAGAAATTAAGTTGCATTCGTAGATGGGTAAAAGGCATCTTTATCTCTATGATATTAAAGTGTGTGAACCCAGTTTTAAGGTTTTAAAATATATATACTGATAAACATTTGATTTAGTGTGTTCTGATTAAGCATTTCCTTTTATATCAGTGTGCCTGTTGTAGGATAAAACCTATCAGCAAAAGAAAATTTACAAATTTCAAATTTAGGATAAGTTAAATATAGTTTTTGGAACAAGGGTCAAATCATGTGAGTAATGTGCAAAACATTAACCTTTAAATTTAAAGAATTATTATTGGCTAAGTATTATATCATAGTTCCCAAGCCCTGAACATAATACAGTATATCATCATATAATTGGCCTTCATAAGTATTTTTAGACCATGGTAATTTTTCTGGATCTGTTTCAAAAGTGAAATATTTAGGAGAGTATGTAGAATTTCTGAAATAATTAGTTCTGCAATCTATTTTTAGTGTATTTAATAATGGTATGGTATGCTGTATTAATGTTATCTCCACTAAATAACCGATGTACTCATTCCCTTTGTCACTATTCACCCTAGTTTTAGCTCTTACACTTTGGTGTTGGTTCTCGGTCATGTTTTAGAACAATAGACACAAAGTCTACGGTAAGGTATAGTCTTAATTGGTAAAATTGAGATAGCTGGATTTGGAAGGAACTCTTAATAGTAATGGATTTGGGGGTTATTTAGGTTCCTTGGTTAATGTTTGTTTCTTTTGTCTGTTTCTTTTTCTTTCATTTCTACACATTCATGCAGTATTTCATGGTTCTATCAAAGCAGCAGTAAAAAAAATACTCTTGACGCATGAAAATTAACTGGTGAGGGGCCTCATTGCTATTTTTAAATTGTAGTTTTATTTTTAAATAGTCTTTTTTTAATCAGAGGATCAGATGCATGACTTTTTTTTAATGGATGCAGATCTTCTATCAGGTGTCTCACAGTAAATTCAAGAGGATTTTAGTTTTCCAGAAATGTTGCAAATGCACTAATTTGAGTAAGATGTTGATACTTAATATTATCCTCTTGAGACATAATTTTGCATGCAAGATTATCCCATAATCTTTGTAGGTTTGTTAATATTGATGCATTAATGCCCTATATCTAAATGATCTTCTCCCTCCCCCTCCCTCCATAACTCTGGGTATCTAAATTGATGACAGCTCTGACACAAGCAAGATAACAGTGCTGTGTAGTATACATTTGTTTATATTATCGGCACTTCTCAGTATAGGTGGAAGGAACCATTACCTTTATTTAACAGTGGTTTTTCTTTTTTGTTGTTGTGTTTTACAGTTCTTTTCCCTGGTTCAGCCTGAACTATATACCAGGCCCTGCTGAAAATACCACCCAACAGTTTTCTTCTGCAGCTTATCCAGTTTCTCTTAAGTGCCCTGTACATATTGTATGTTTTATGATGAGATGCAGTTTCTTAATATGTATTACAGAAATACTACTGGTATTTGCAAATATATAGTTTAATTGTATTATTGAACTCTCATTTTGGGGGCTTGGGCACATTAACAGATTAATCCATCTGTATAGGGCTTTTGCTGTTGGATAGAATTTAAATTGTGTACATAAATAATTGTCTTAGGACCCTTAGATGTTATCTGAATACACAGATTAGGCTTTAAAAACAGACATACATGTTGTTTTTGGCTTTAGGAGTTTGGCTAAGTTAGCTTTTGAACTCACACTGTATAGCAGCATTTTTTGGTATGGTTAGCATGGCACATGTTGGAATATAAAGCATTTTACTGTACAGGTAAGGAATGTGCCATGTTGTTTTACCTATTCTCTCTCTCTCTTATTCCCACACACACATCCAGTGTGTATTCAGAGACCTTCAGAAACATTCATTTTCATGAGTCAGCAAAAGCCCTACACTTGATTCCAACAGAATATTTCCTTACATACTTTTCTTCTCTTAATTTTTACAAAATTTGTATGGTAGGTGTAAAAGAAAATCATAGTAACTGTACCATATTATTAACCCCTAAATCAAACTTTTTTTGTCTTGTGTATCTTGATTTTTCTGTGTGCTTTATAGTGAAGCAGCCGACACGAGTCGTTGTTCATAAAACAGCTTTTGAAAGTTGAGAGCACACCCCTGGAGAACCGACTGTGCTTGCTTACGTTTGGTTCATGACTTAAAAATCGAGTACAGGTGATGAAATCTTGGCAGTGTTAACAAAAAAGTAGTGTGTATTGTGCTATTTTTTTTACTCTAGAAACTTAACCATTTGTAGAGAAAAAAAGGAAACAAATTTTCACACATTGAAGTTTCATTCTGACATAAAATTAATGATAAATAATCATAGAAATCAAGCTTTATATTTTAGCGAACATAAGTACTTTCAGCAAACTCAGGTGGTGTATCAGGGAGACATTTTCTGGGTGTTTTTGTGTGTTTTCTGTCTTGCAAAAGGGTGTGTTCTAATGCAAGGCTGTTTCTCTGCAGGAGTTATTCCTGATGAGACTAAGGCTTTGTCTCTGTTGGCACCAGCTAATGCAGTGGCAGGTCTTCTGCCTGGTGGTGGACTCCTGCCTACTCCTAACCCACTTACCCAGGTACTAGTTCTAATTGAAATCTTAAAGGATTGAAAGAACACAGAATTGTGGATAAAGCTAATCATATTTGAGCTTTTTAAGTGCTGTGATTCTAGTTCACAGAAGGATGTCACATGTATAATATTAAAGGCTATTGCAATCATAAATCCTAAAGAGAATCTCTTGAAGGTTGCATTTTAAGAACATTCTGAAAATCACGAATATCTGTTACATTGGTTATGTCCCTGACTCTCAAAATAACCCAGTAATATGAAAAAAATCTCATGGAGCATAAAGACTTCTGTTGAACATGCTGTTAAAAAGAGTATGTTCATTTGGAGCTAGGAAAGAAAAGTGAATTTCAGACTGTTTTTTCTTTGCCAATACCTTTTGTTCTTTTGCTCTTATCTTGGGGTTTTAATTAAGTAGGTGGCTTGAAATAAAAATGAATTTGTGGATATATATTTGATATGGGGGGGAAAGTATTCAAGTTGGAGAAAATTTTACTGGGTAATGTTTCTAACCCTGATAATGCTGTAAAAAGCGTATCATTTTAGAGCCAAAAGATTCTTTAAATAGCATGTATTATAAAAACTCAAAGATTGTAACTGGTTGGTGGTTTCACAGATAAAGCAAATGATGGAGCCTCAATTAGAACTTTATAACAACTTTGATTCCTTTTATTAAATCATTTTGCTTGTTTAAATAGTTTAGTTAACTGTTAAATGATCTGTATGGTATTATAGAAGGAGACAGATCAGGAATGCCCAGCTTTTTGAGTATGATTTTGTCACATATAAAATGCGGGTCTGAGAAATTTGTAAATACCTTTAATGTATAAAATTGTGTAATAACTGAAATAGTTTATGTAATAGTATTAACACAGTATTTTAACAGTACTCAGTAAATAGTTAAATTACAGAATATTTGGAACCTTGTATTTATTAAAAATTGAGGCGAGTAGAGCTTTTAGCAGTGTTTTATAGAGAAGGTCAAACTGCCTTCAGAGTTACAGGATTTTGCATGGTTTGTGTCTTAAATTATTAATCAGAATTATATCAGACAGGAGACAGAACCACACAGTAATTTGAACAGGGAGAGTTTAGTGTAAGGAATTAGTAGCTTGTAACTGGAGCTTTGCTAGGGGAACTCTTAAGGAATTACATGAATTGCAGATATAGGAAGCAACCATTACTTCTAGTGTTCAGGAAGAAAGAACACAAGGTAAAAAGAAACATTTAGATGAGAGGGCTTTCCAACCCCCCAAGATAAAATTCAGACATCCTTTGAAAGGGGTAGATACTAAAGAAGTTTTCCAGGGTGCCACGGAACTTGTTAGGAAGCTGCCCAAGAAGATGGCTCTGAAATGTTCTGAGAGGTGAAGGCCACTGGGTATCCCACATAGCTCTGCAGTAACAATCACAAAGGGGACATAGGAACCAGGAAGAGGAAACCCTTTCACAGTGTCATTCCAGCTGTTTTAACAAGCCATCTGTCACTGGAGAAATGCTATCTTCAGTATCACAAAACGGCAAAGAACTGGATTTGGGGCTGAGAATCAGTAAATGTTTATAATTGGAAGAATATATTGAAAAAATTTTTTTCTAAATTCTGATTGTAGGAATAAATGTGCTATAATGACAGATGGAAAATAAGGCAAGAAGTAGGCAAACTATGCCCATTTGTTTATGTATTGTGTATGCCTGTTTTCGAGCTGTAATGGTATAGTCGTGTAGTTGCAGCAGAGATCATGTAGCCTAAGGACTTAAACTAGTTATTTGCCCTTTAGAGGGAATAAATTCCCCCCCACCCACACACACAGTGTAGGGAACAGAAGTGAAATTTTAGATAAATAAAATTTGTAATTTCACAGATTGGCGCTGTTCCATTGGCTGCTTTGGGAGCTCCTACTCTAGATCCTGCCCTTGCTGCACTTGGGCTTCCTGGAGCAAACTTGAACTCTCAGGTATAATTTAATACTCTTCAACTTTGAGCTCATTCTTATAATTAAAGACTTTATTTTATCAACTATTATTATGCATTTCAAGAGCTAAAGATAACTGATTGCTATGATACAGCATTAACTTTTTTCTTATATAATCTTGTTAAAGAGAGACTTAAATGGTCACTGCATTATTAGCTCCTTACCCATTAAGGAATTTTTCTTTATTTTATTTATACATTTACTTTTTTTAATCCTCACCCAAGGATATGGTTTTTTATTCATTTTCAGAGAGAGAGGAAGGGGGGGAGAGAGAAACATTGCTTGGTTGCCTCTCTTGCTCGCCCTAACTGGGATCGAACCTGCAACCTAGGTTATGTGTCCTGACCCAGGAATCAAATCCACAACTTTCTTGGTGTGCAGATGGATGCTCCAACCAACTGAGCCTCCCACCCAGCGCCAGAAGTTCTCATCTTACGTAGTTCAAAGTAGAGAGTTTCACGGGAATTTTAACATAATCGTCAACATGTAATGGAGTTTTTGTTTTCCTGTCATTTACTCACTTGAAAATTTCATTTTCTCGTAATTTGGCTGAACTTTTTTGGAAGTCCTTCCTTTGTGGAAATTTTTTGATTTATTATATTGGTTTTGTTTTACGTTAAAGCATTACTTTCCCTCAGAAAGTCTTAAAATAAGTAGGTGGTAATTGTTCTGTAAAATCTGGATTGTTCAGCTTTATAATGTTCATATTTAACTTGGTAAAGCTCCTCTGGATATCCAATCAATACTATAGCCACTAATGTCACCTGTTTCTTTTTTTGTTTGTTTTAACGTGGCTACTAAAAAACTTAATATGACATTTGGCTGGCATTGTATTTCTGTCGGTCATCCATGTGCCTGAAATGTTACTTTTTGTAGGTTTGCCAGGGTGTCCTAGAACATTTCAACATCCTAGAAAAATAAAATAGAAATCAGTATTGTTTTATGTATTCTCACTGTTGTTACATTTTTTTGTTTTCACAGTCTCTTGCTGCAGATCAGTTGCTGAAGCTTATGAGTACTGTTGATCCCAAGTAAGGACTTTTTCTCTTTCCACTGATGATATGGATATAGTATATGAATATCTAGAGAAGTTATTTTTTGGTAGCTAAAAAGAAAGTTATCTCAAGACATTCAATACATAATTCAGTTTTCTAGAAATGGGGAGAAAAAATCCAGTGCTAAATCCATCTGTAAGAGGGTTTTGTTTTAGTGTAATTTTAGTTTTCAAAAGAATTGTGAATAGCTTATACCAAAATAACGGGAAAAGAACTAAACATTATCTTTAGTTGGTTCATTTAAAAAATATATATTGAGTACCTGCTATAAACTTGTACCTTTATAGCATTTATATTCTATTCTGGAAGGAAGACATTATTTAAATATAGTAAAGCATGTGTATCCAACTAGAGGAAGTACAGAGGTGCTGTGGAAACTTATTACAAGAACTTAGTTTGAAGATCAGGGAAGCTAAGCCCTAGCAGATGAATAGAAAAGTTAGGAGACAGAAGTGAGGGAAACACAATCCTAGAGCAAAGGACTGGCATGTGTCACCATAATAATGGCCATATAGTTTAGGTACTTCAAAGAGTTCTCTTCGTGCTGTAACTTTTATATTTCCTACTTGTAACAAAGTCATAGTTTAATTGGTAATTTGATGGTATTTTAAATTTGAACTGAATGCTGTTTCTCCTTGGTGAAAGTCACTGTCAGTAAGTGGGAGGGTGTGGGAGGAGAGAGGACAGACTCATTTCACTATAGTGGTTAGTGGACTTTTTTCTTAAAAGTTATCAGATAAAATCTAAGCATGTAACTATCACCTAGCTTATAAAATAAAATATCATCAGTAAAGTTGAAATTTCCTGCATACTTATTTTCACTTACAGTTCCCACTCTCCCTACAAATAACTACTGTCCTAACTTTGGTGTCTAATTTTTTCTAAATGTATAAACCCTTAGAGGTGCATCTTTAGCCTTTCCAATTAGGAATTTCTGAGTAACTTTGGTGTAGCATTGGCCTCTGCCTCAGTTTCTTCCACAAACTTAAAATGCTCTTCCCCAACAAATTATGATGTAAAAAGTTTGGGGTTTTTTATATCCTCACCAGAGGATATTTTTTCCATTGCTTTTCAGAGAGAGTGGAAGGGGGAGAGAAAGAGAGAAACATCGATGTGAGAGAGAGACATCAATTGGTTGCCTCATGCACGCACTCTGACCAGGGCCAGGGATCGAGCCTGCAACTGAGGTATGTGCTCTTGGCTGGAATCAACCTGAGACCCTTCAGTCCATCGGCCAACACTCTTAACCACCAGTTAGAGCAATGTAGAAAGTTTTTACATCATATAAAGAAAAGTTTTATTAATCAAAAGTCTTTAGCATCAACATATTCCCATGCACTAGCATTTCTCAAAATGTATTTATAGAAAGTTAATGAAAGATCAGCAGAATTAAATAGGCATTTTTCTTATTTCAGATATACTCTCTTTAAAATGCAGGTGCCATTTAAATATTCTAAAGGGTACTTATACTGTGTATGGTTTTACCAAAATAATAGAGTCCTCCCCCTTTTTTCCAAGCAATATCTTACTAAAATGTTACGTGAAACATTTATGTATTTATTTGAAATGCTGTTTTGCGTTTTAAAATATTTCAGGTCTCAATTATTGGTTCTCTTTTAGGTTGAATCATGTAGCTGCTGGTCTTGTTTCACCAAGTCTGAAATCAGATACCTCTAGTAAAGAAATAGAGGAAGCCATGAAGAGAGTACGAGAAGCACAGTCCCTAATTTCTGCTGCCATAGAACCAGGTAAAATATGTTTATGCACTTGTGCTGAATCTTAAACTGTATGATTGCTTGCAAAAATGATTATTGCATCAGTTTGGAAATTTTTTTTACTTAATATTGTCATTTCCAAATTATGATTAAAAGATCATGTAGTGGAGTTATTTTCAGTAGGGTTCTATAAGTTGGGTTGGAGTTGACACCCAGACCTACTTGGAAATATCTAGAGACATTTAGTTGTCATGCTCGTACCAAATGTATCTCGTGGGCAGAGGGCCAGGGATGTTGCTAAAACATCCTTCGGCATACAGGACAGCCACCACCCCTGCTTTCCAAACAAAAAATAATCCATTCCAAAATGTTGGTAATGCCTAGGATTATCTAATAATTGGTGTGATATTTTTGCTGTTTTTAATTTATGGTTTGGAGGTTTGTAATCCTTTATCTTCAGTTCTGGATTCTTTTTCCACAATTAAATGTTGTTTTATTCATTTTTCACTGTTACTTTTTAGTAAGTGAGAAAAATTCTAGTAGTTACTGTATTCAGAAAGTAATTTTAAAGTATAATATTGGATAAATTAATACCAAGTGCTTTGTGTGTGTTACCTCATTAACAAAATACTAGCCCAGGGTCACATGCCAAGTAGTAGGAACTTTTTAGTACACAATTAGATCTCTGACTCCAAAGCTAGAACACCATGCTGTAGCTTTGTTCATTGAAAACATAACTAGAATGACTAAAAGTGTTTTCTATATGAATTTTTTTTCTCCAAGATTTTTTGTTAATTACTAATGATGACGTTAACAATGAATTGAATTCTATTAATGAAGTGATCTGAATGTGTAAGGGGGAGCTCATTCTCACTGACATGGTTGTTCATAAATGCAGTGGCTTTATTTCTCTTGTTATGGGTTATTTAAAAACTAACAAATGGGACAAATCATTCTGTGTTTCTCTCTTACACTTAACACAGTTGAAAATTGGTGAGGAAGAGGAGAGACAGATTAAGAAATGTAGTGAGAACAGAATGAATGACTTTCTGAATTTTAAGCCCAAATATTGAGCCTGTTTATCAACCACTTTAACATAATATACATTAATTTCTTTAACAAAGGAGCATAGCGCTAAGTGGTGAGGAAAGAGGGAACATCTTGCTGGACCAAGAATTTAAAATACTTATTTATTATTAAATTACATTTATTTTACAGTTAAGTGCTCATTGGGGAGATGTTATTAGTACATAAACAGAAAGTTAAAGTATTAATCTTGGTGAAATGTAGTTACATTTAGGAAAGTAGAATCTAGGGGTGGGAAAAGGGGCCACTTGTTTATAAACCTCTAAAAAGAAAAAGGGTGAGATAACCATTTTCATAAATTATTTTGTGGACAACACTTGACAGCCTCCTGAGTCTAGAAAGTGAAATTGTCCATTTGGCTAGCTGAAAATCAAAAGTCTATTTTTGGATCTACCAAAATCCTGCATGATTTGTATAACTTAAATAAGCTTCAACATTTCAGTTGTAAAATGATCACTTGTAACATTTAAGGATTATATGTAAAAGCTGAATATTAAGATAAAGAAATTCTTAGATTAATGCATGAATGAAATTAATCTGTTTGGTAATTTAAAAATCTGGCCCGGCCGGGCATGGCTCAGTGGTTAAGCGTCGACCTAGGATCCAGGCAATCAGGGTTCGATTCCCGGTCAGGGCACATGCCTGGGTTGCAGGCTGCAGCCAATCAATGACTCTCTCATCATTGATGTTTCTCTCTCTCTCTCTCCCTCTCCTTTCCTCTCTCTGAAATCAATAAAGATAAATTTAAATAAATAAATACATAAATAAATAAATAAATCTGGATTTCTTTCCTTTTAAATCCAGATAAAAAAGAAGAAAAACGAAGGCACTCAAGATCGAGATCACGCTCTAGGAGGAGGAGGACTCCCTCATCTTCTAGACACAGGTTAGACTGTGGTATTCAGTCGCTTTTGGTATTCAGTTGTGCCTTAGACAAAGATAAGTTCTCTGTGTCACATCCTTCTTAATTTGCTTCCTGTTCACCTAGCAGCTTCTGGTTAAAGTGTGCTTTAGTAACTAGTGCTGTTAGCAGAGTGTGCCAATAAGTGTTCACACATGTATAAATGGAGTAAAAGTATGGGCTAATAGAGGTGATTGATACTTTAAAACGCCAAAATATCTAGGGGTAAGTTGAAGGCACAGGGACTTGAGCACTAAATTAAGTTTAGTACCATGGGAAGAACCTTACTTGAAACTGGACTTGAATTCTAGTTCTTGCTTTTCACTAAACTTCTAAGGCTTAAGTTGGAAGGTCATCATGCAACCTATAGATTACTTCTTTGATGCATGAATATTTATTTGCAAATCACACGACTTGCTGTTGTTTTGAGATTGTTTTTTGTATTACTGGATAAACTAATTGGTTGTATAACTTTTGTCCTACCTAGAGTAGGACTGAATATAAGTGTATTCTCTTTTCCACATGACATCCCTGTGTAAATTTATAATGTTCTCTGGACCAGTGTATCTCAAACTTGCTGGTATTGGGACCTCTTTTACTTAATGGAAAATATGAGAATTCCAAACAGAGTTTGTTTATGTTGGTTATAGCTGTTAATATAGGCCATATGAAGATTTAAAAACAGTGACAGTAAACCCATTCGTATTAACACAACTTAGAAACTAAACTTTTTAAAGAAAAAAGTAGAAGAGTGGCTTTGTTTTACTTTTTTTGCAAACCTCTTTAATGTTTATAATATAGACATACAATATTCTACATTCAACTTACTGCAATAAATTTTGGTTTTATATAGAGAAAATTTGGCTTCACACAAACATGGTCAGAAAAGGGAAAAGTTATTATATAGTCTTCTCAGGTAAACTACAACTAGTGTTCTTTGCCATAACACCAAAACTTGACGTGATAGTTTCTTAGAAGAGCTGCAGTAGGGGATCTGAAACCATAAATGAACCTTTCATACACTGTTACATTAAAATCTATTGATCCTTCCTTACACTTTGAGTGGGTCTTTTCCCCAAGCGTGCTTTTTTGTAAAATTGTGCTTTGGTGGTTTGCAAAAATAATTGATTCACTGCTATGTACAAGTTTTCAAATGTTGAAACATTTTGTGATATAACAATAAAATGACATTTGGTGCTCCCACCACAAATCTTATTAGAAAATGCTGTCAGTTCAGAATGGTGGGTTCAAGTTTTCCAAAATTTTCTCTTGGAAGCTCAGATTTTTATCATTGGCAACAAATTGAGTTGTTTTCCTTGAAATGATAGTCTTCATTCATTTTTTAAGAAAATGGCTGCCAAATACCCAAGTCTGAACAACCATAGTTGACCACTTGTTCTTTGAAGTAAAAGTAATATTTCATGGAAAAGGCAGTTTAAGTTCAAAACTTAGTCCCACAAGTGCCTCTCTTAATACAGCCATTGAAGTTTAATAAATATCAGAAGTGATTTATCCATACTTCCGATTTTATTGTATAGGATTTTATTGCTCAAGGGACTAGATTTAATAAAATTGATATTTGTTACTGCTTCATCAAAGACATCCCATGTGAAAATGACATTTTGTTTGTTTGTTTTTTCTTTTACTGCAAGTGCTTACTACAAATGCCTGTGAAGAATACAGTGACTAGGGCAGTTCAGTTGCCACTACCTCGGTTTGTGCTAAGGAGATGCCAGCACTTTTACACCACCATTGCTTTTGCACCCTTAGTGAAAATGTCAAATGTCAACATGGTGAAAAAGGCAAATAATATCTGTTATTATTTTGAAAATAATTTTGACCTCATGGACCCTATGACATTATCAAGTCATTTCTTGTCCATTGTCTTCATCTACTCAGCTGCTATAGTAGAATCCTCTAAACTGAGTGGCTTATAAACAACAGGTTTGTTTGTCACAGTTCTGGAGGCTGAGAAGTCCAAGATCAGGGCACCAGCAAATTTGGTGTCTTGTGAGGACCTACTTATCAGTGAGCCATCTTTTTGCTGTGTCCTCACATGGTAATGGGCAATGGGTCTCTCAGATCTCTTTCAAAAGGACATTACTCCTAATCATGAAAGCTGCAGCACCCTCTTGATCTGATCGCCTCCCAAAGACCCCCACCTTCAAATATCACATTGGAGGTTAGGTTTTGAATAAGAATTTGGGGAGGGACACATTCAGTTCATAGCAAAATAGTAACATGGTTGTCCTATCTGTTATATCTGTTTCATTTCCTTTTACCTGTCTTTCCCCACCCTGTCTTATTTATTTATTTATTTATTTAATATATCTTTATTGATTTCAGAGAGAGGAAAGGAGAGGGAGAGAGAGAGAGAGAAAGAGAAACATCAATGATGAGAGTCATTGATCGAGCCCGCAATCTGGGCATGTGCCCTGACCGGGAATCGAACCCCGATCCCCTGGATCCTAGGTCGACGCTCAACTGCTGAGCCACGCCCGGCCAGGCCTGTCTTACTCTTCTTAAAGATGTCTTTTAAAAACTAAGATTGGGATCATGTCACAACTCTATTAAACCTTGAGAAGTTCCCTATTGCCCTAATAAGATGTTAAATAAAACCTTAGAATGGCATTCAGGGTTTTTTTATCTATTCAGCCTAGTTTTCCTTTTCACACTTGTCATTTGCCACTCCAAAACAGTTAACTACAGTACTGCTGTGTTTTTTGTATATAATACCAAGTACATCCAATGGCTGTCGTATTTTAATTTGAATTACTTTGATATGACTAGCGGGAAATAACAGTGAAACATTTATTTCCTTGAAACAGAGTGTTTTTGGACACTTGTAATAACACTTCATAACAGATCATTATTATGGATTGTTGTATCTTAAGCATCCTGGCTTATAAAATTGACCATTACTTTCAATAAGCTTTCTTACTTAGATACATTATACACTAATCTGTATTTTCTGATTTTTTAAAAGCTCATATAAACTAATGTGTTCAAGTGGCTCTGTGGTACATTACTCTTGAAAGATAACTGTTTTGGGACCTTAGAGTAAATAAGTTGATGTGGTACTTCTGCTTACTAGATTTTTTAAAATTTTTATTAATCACGTTGTTTAGGGGAAAAACCTATAAGAATGAGAGTGTGGTTTTCTACATCTATATTTTTTCTGTACACATTCAAAGGCAGGAAAAATGTGTGGTTCAGCTTAGCTAAAATAATTGTGGAATCTAATGAACACAATGAATTGACCAACAAAATAAGCCTCGAGGCATGGAACAGAGTGACATATTTCAGAGGGTGGGGGACGAGAAGAGATAGACCAAAGAACTTCTATACTTATGTGCATAGCCTATGGACAGAGACACAGTAGTGTGGTGAAGGCCTGGCAGGGGAGAAATGGGGGACATCAGTTATACTGTCAATAAAAATATATATATATATTTTATATTTTATAGGGTCAGTGTTTCAAAAATACAGGCGTCCCGAAAAAAATGCACACACACTTTAACAGCTGATAGCTCAATTTTTAAAATGAAATGTATTTTAATAAACACTGTCTTTATAATTATTCAAAGTGTGTGTGCTTTTGGCGGGGTACACCCTATATTCGTACGTTTTAAGTCAGGGCACTATAGTAATTTCTCAAGGGTACAGTGGCCAATAAGATATAAACACCTCCTGTCCTTACGGAACTTACAAAATGGTAGGTAAGCATTACATGAAAATTTCCTAGGATATAGACATGTTAAGAGGGAATTGTTTTAGTGAATGGTTTCATATGTGGTCAAATATAAGAGGTGATTAAAATAAGAATTTATTGGATTTAATGAGACACTAGTGATGGATTTTGAAACAGCTGTTTTAGAGAATGATGGCAACAGAAATTTTGTTAACACATAAGTTAGATGAAAGAAGAGGGTCAATATTTAACGTATACGCCTATACTAAGGCCATAGTGCTAGGCTTTATAATTCTATTTGAATTATGACTATTTTGCAATGTAAGTGCTATTATTTTTCTTTGCTGAATAGGCTCAAAGGTTAGCTGGCTTATAAATGAGATAATTTCCATTTATAAAATGTGTATCCTCTGGCACCTTGAAAAGGTGAAGGCAGAAGGTTTAGAATATATTTGAAATTTTTCATTGAAAGTGGTTGAATGATTACTAAAAGTTAAATGATTAAGCAAAAGATTGCAGTTTATTTTTAATCTTAATATAGAAGAGAATAAAATATAGGAAGGAGGATTAATGATAACATCAAAAGGGTTCTTTATACTTAAATTCTGGGAGAGGAAGAAAGTATAGGATGGCGGAGGATCGAAGAGGGTCCGGAGAGAAACGTTTCTGTTACACGGCATGAAACTGATACAGAGACCGTGAGGAGAAATGAGAGTAAGAAGTAGTTTGTACTGGATTTTATAAATCTATAAGGCCTGCATTGCTCTTAAATTGCAAATTAAAGAAGTAGGATATATTTTAGAGGAAAACAATTAGAAATTGTAGAAGGCAACATTAAGTGGTTTCCATTTATAAAATGGGAATAATAATGGTACCTACATTATAGGCTTACTATGAGGATAAAATGAGTATTTGTAAAGCACGTAGTAAGCATATATAAGTATTTGGTAATTGATAGATTTAACGTGCAATAGTGAGGAATCTAACATAATACGCTAAAATGCTATATAATGACAGTGATGCAAATAAATCAGGTTTGGTTTTTTGGTTTGTTCTGGTCTTTTTTTCATTCTCTAGCAGTATTTTTAAGTTCGGTGTTGTAGTTTCAGTGGGCATAGGACTAGTTTGACAGGTTTAACAAAAGGTATTTCATATTTCTAGGGTATCAAAAATGTTTATTATAATGGACCAAATAAATAATGGCAGCAAATGGCAGGAAATTGTCTCCACTTACTGATCCTTAGCCCATATATCTGATGTCTTTTATCTGATACTAAGTGAAATGGTCACAAACAAAACTAGTCTTATTCTATTTATATATGTGTATTGGCTTTCTTTCATTAGGCGGTCAAGAAGCAGGTCGAGAAGGAGATCACATTCTAAGTCAAGAAGTAGGCGACGATCCAAAAGTCCCAGACGGAGAAGATCTCATTCCAGAGAGAGAGGTAGAAGGTCACGGAGCACATCAAAAAACAGGTACAGTAGACTGTTAACAGTGGGTGGGAAGACAAATTTTAAGAGTTCCCAAGACCCCAAATACTGTGCTACTTAATAAAAGAGGTGGTAATGGGAGATAGAGCTAGAGCCAGGGAGAAACTATTTAAAATTTGATGAGGCTGCCCTGGCCGGGTTCTCAGTGGTTAGAGCATTAGCCCTCGGACTGAAGGGTCTTGGCTTCGATTCCGGCCAAGGGCACACGTACCGCAGTTTCAGGCTTGATCCCTGGCCCCAGTTGGGGCATGTGCTAGAAGCAACCAATCGATATGTCTCTCTCACATCAGTGTTTTCTCTCTTTCCCTCCTTCCTTCCTTCCCTTCCTCCCTCCCACTCTCTCTCTGAAAAGCAATGGAAAAGATATCCTCGAGTGAGGATTTTTTTTTAAAAAATTTGATGAGACTAACAGTTGTTTTCCTGTTTCCTTGTAAACTGGAGATTTCTACTTGGAACTGAAGACCTAGATAAGATTTCTTTGTAGTAGAAGTTTTTAGCTGTCCTACTACCTTTCTTTATTTCCTCCTTTCCAGTCAACCACCCTTAAAGGATTTAGTGCTACCATCCATTCCTCATGATATACCAAAGAGCTTATGGCAGATAACCATGCTTTAATACTTATTAAGATTTGCTATATGCCAGAGAGTAAATCATACTTAGAGTCTCTTATCCCATGATTTGGGACCAGTAGAGAATTGAAGTGAAGATTTATTAAAAAGCAAATATCCCCACCCTGACGTTTTACTTAGACTTAAACGTGTTCAGTAATCAGTCTTTCTCATTTAAGGCAAAACCTTTTAAATTAGTATGCCTAGTCTTGAGTAACACATACCAAATTATTCTTTTCATTCATACCACCTTTAAAGTAGCAGCTTCCCTTTATCTCTTTCTAAAATATTTGCTTCATTTTTCTAGAAGCAGTTCTTTATACTGCTTTATCTATTTATGTAATTATGTAGTTAAAGGACAGCAGGGGCCCAACAAAATTTATTCTTGGTAAACATATAACTCAACTGGGAACATAAGTCCTGGGATAGCTTTGCTGAGTGTCCAGCCTGCAGCAAGGCTTTTAGTCACGTTTTACAGGGTGAGTCATCTCTTAATTCAGTCAAACAAACAAGCTTCCCTAATAACCATCTATCATACAAAAAGGAACTAGTCATTCCTTTGCTCAAAGGACTTTCTTTATACTGGTAAAGAGATGACTATATACAGGAAGGACCATTATTAGTGATGAGAGGCTCAACTGAGAAATGACTCGAGTATTAACTTGAGATGGATTTGATTGGACCCAATGAGGAGTGCATGGTTTCAGGTAGGGAATGTTATTTACGGAGTTAACATAAATTCTTGAAATAGCAAGTATTTTGGTGTAGAACGACCAGGAAACAAGGTCAAAAAATGTAAGGACACTACAAACAGAAAGCTTTATTGTTCACACTTAGGAGTTTGCACCTGACGCAGGAGGCAGCTGGAATGGATTGAAAAGTGATGAACAGGGAGTTGATATTTTTGAGTTTGTACTTTGAAAAGATTTCTGGTAAGAGGGTATAGGATCAGTTTGTGGAAAATATGACTGGACTGCTTAAGGAGGGACTGTTATAATGACCTAAGAATTAGATGGTAAAGACTTGAATGGAGAGAGGGTAACTGATGGAACATGGTGACCAAGGAAGGGAGGGGTGGGGGAATCAGTTTAGAGCAATGAAAGGGACACCTTTAATCTCTAAAATTATAGAATAGATAAAGATGGGGGTATATGTATGTGTTTATGGATATAAGGGATTTCTCATTCAACAAACACATTGATCCCTTTGCTCAGAGTCTTGGGGAGAATGGTAATCTTAAGAAAAACATGCTGTGGTGAATAAAAGTCAATTTACAAGAATCTGTAAAAAGATTTAATATTGAGGTATGGTTACAGTACCAGTCAGTTATGATGTAATATTTTTTCTAATAGCACTGAGTAGCCCAGAATAGGCAGCAGCAGAGAAAAAGGTAGAAAGTTGGCTTGGTCCATGATAGAGGTTAACTTGAGGTGTGTGCTTTGGAAGAACATTGAGCATTAATTTTGGTAGCGCATTATGGGCTATTGCCTGGCAGAGGACAGAGCGCCGTGGTGGGTTGGGAGACAGAAGTCATGTGAGAGAAAAACTATTGAAGAGTGTAGAGACAATTATTAAAACTACCGATGTTTATTCTAGACAATCAAGAAACTGGCCAACATCCTTCATCATTTTCTCACTACAGTCTACTTTGCTCTCTATTGGAAAGAATTTTTATGTACAATACCAGAAAAACAGGATTTAAAAAAAATTTTTTTACCACAAATAATGCCATTCAAATTATATTTCTATACAGTATCAGAGTAACATTCATATTTTAAGAATGGAATTAAATCTCTTTGCTTTTGGTTTTTATTTATAGCACTGTGTAAATTTATATGAGCTGCAACTTCTAATGTATTCATAAATTGTGTTTATTAGAGACAAAAAGAAAGAAGACAAAGAAAAGAAACGTTCCAAAACACCACCAAAAAGTTATAGCACAGCCAGACGGTCCAGAAGTGCAAGCAGGTAAGGCTTTATGAATTCTTGGCATTTCTTAAACTTTATTTGCAAGGATATCATAGATTGTGAATACATGTTTTCCAGTACCTACAGGGGTGGGCAGAAGTAGGTTTACAGTTGTGAGTACACAAAACACAGTTTATTCTTATATTATTGTGTTTATTTTATATGAACAACTGTAAACCTACTTTTGCCCACTCCTGTATATACTTCAGTGTTGACAAAAATGTATGCACACTTCAACACCTGATAGCTCAGTTTTGAAAATGAAATGTATTTTAATAAACACTGCCTTTATCGTTATTCAAAGTGTGTGTGTACATTTTTTGGGACACCCTATATTAAATGACGTAGAATAATGCATACAGTTAGCCCTCACATCTGTGGATGAGAAAATGCCAGAGTATATGAATGCCGAACTAGGTCTGAATGGAAGATGGGGAGTGTGTAACATATTTTTCTTACCTTACTAACTAGAGGCTTTTTTTTTCCTTTTTTTTCTTTTTCCTGTCGCTTTATTTAATGTACTTAATCATAAGCACTCTACCTTGCTTAATTATTGGATCGCCTTAAGTTAAGGCATATTCTTTAAGTTTTTATCAAATACCTACTATGTGTTTGCAGTTGTGCTAGTCTGTCAAGGAGCACAGAAATAAAAAAACATCTCTTCCACCTAGGGAATTTGGAGTATGAGTTACACAAAGCAGTAGCAAAAAGTATGAGGTATACAGCCCCAAGGAACTTAATAAATATTTGATGAATGAAAAGTTGTGTGTAACGTTTCCAGGACCTTGAGGGCGAAGAAGGTGTGAGGTACCACACAGGATGATAAAAGGGTTTTATTTAAAAAAAAAAAAAAAACTTCTATAGAAGCTAGGCAACTGAAATTACAGGGTTTTATTTTTATTTTGTTTGTGCCTGAATTGTATAATGGTCATCTCGCAAGTCCTAATAACTTCTGAGAATATTAACAGAAGCTGTACATCTTCAACACTGGTTGCTCAAATCAGTGTTATGGACATGGTTTGCTGGAGTATAGGGTACCAATTTGATCTCTGTTACCATTAACTCTTGTTCTCTGAATTTTACCTAATGATTTAAAGATAATTTTTTACTAGCCACCTACCTTACATATTACAACATATGATCCTGTATCTCTTCTGGACACAGATGTATGAATCCAAAACTGATTTCTTGAATTTTCAGACAGGTTTTATCTCTTGAATCAGAACTTTTGTTAATCAGTCTTCCCTCAAGATTAGCAAATCTGATATCATGATGATGTAATTTAAGAATTGCTGGAGCACTTGCCAGTTGCTCAGTGTTTAGAGCATTGGCCCATGGACTGAAGGTTCCCGGGTTCGATTATAGACAAGAACACGTACTTTGGTTGCAGGCTCAACCCAGCCCTAGTTGGGGTGCTTTCAGGAGGCAACCAATTGATGTTTCTCTCTCTCTCTCATCGATGTTTCTCCCCCCCTTCTC